GAGCACACGAAGGCCTCATCAGAGGTTCCTGTTACAGTGACTGACGTGAGTTGTTCGTGGTTCTCTCCATAGTGTGAGACGGCGGCCTGTGAGGACAGAGGAACATGGGATTGCTCAGTCTCTGCACCCACCACTGTGACATCAGAAGCCTCAACCACTTTTCCTGCACCTGGTATCTGACCATGTCTGCGTGTCGGTGTCCCTGCAGCCTAATGTGAGGAGACAGGGACTCAGCCCGTCCCCGACACCAGAGCCCCTCCCACTGCCCTGTGCCCTCTGCCCTGACCAGCTTTCCTGCTCCAGGAGGGGCAGGACGGGACGTCTCCACCCCATCTCCCCTCATGGGACACTGAGCTGCAGCTTCCTTCTTTCTTATTGAAAATAAGAATCTGGATATTGATTTGTTTTTCAAATTCTTGCTGTTAGAAGTAGTTAATGGGTTAATTTTTTTTTTTTTTTTTTAGACGTTTTTGCTATAGGGGTTAACGGGTTAATTAAAGCAGCAGAAGAAGACTTTTTAAACTCACGAGAAGAAATAAAACCTGAGAGCTGCACAGATTCTGTGTGTTTGCTGTGCTGGGTCTGCTGTGGTGGGGGTGGAAGGAGTCTGGGAGGGGCTGAGTATGGACGGGGCTGTGTCCAGTCAGCACTCTGTCCATCGTGGGTTTGGCGTGGTCATTCCCTTAGGTCATCTTTGCTGTTGCATTGTCCTTTTCCCACCTGGGCTGTGACCACAGGGATTAGGCATCCCCTGGGCCCTGTCCCATCCCCAGGGCTGTGGGCAGCGAGTGCCCTGTGTGCCCCGTCAACCTCGGCCCAGGCCTGGGTCTGCCCTCACCCCCACTTGGTGTATTTATCTGTTGTTTCTTTGTGTCTGTGAAGGAGTCGCCTGTTCTTGTTCTCAGGTCCCAGTTCTGCTCTCGTTCTCTGAGTGTCCCTCTGTGACAGCAGCAGGAGTCACTTTCCTGTCCCTGTCCCCATAAGGCCCAGGTAGCCCAGCTCACAGGGTCTGTGGTACTGAGAGATGGGTTTTCAGACTCGTCCTGCTCTTGCCCTTCTAGGGCTGTTCCCTGGATTGTGTTTTCCATTTCTCCGTCACTTTATAAGGAAACATATTCTGAATTTGCAGAAAGAAAGGAGCTTATAATTGCTCCTTCTAAATTACTTTCTGTTGAAATTCTGCTCTGCTTGCTTACCTCCTCCTGCCCATAGCTGTAGTTATCCCAGCCCTGACTCCAGGTCAGACTCATGGATTCATATGCAGAATCTAATTTAGATTTGTATTTGTTCTTAAAATAAGATCCATGAGCCAAGGATCCTTTTGTTTAAAAAAAAATGTTGAGAGTGTGCTGTATGACGATGATATTGTACATGGTAATGTCTATGACTGACCAATATGCAGTGTATTCACGCTGAGAAAAACCATTTCATGTGCAGTAAACACGGACAGTGGTTAAGTATGAATTAAAACAATTTTTCAAGGAGGAAAGAAATTGTGTACAGCATCTTAAGGGACTGGCTCTTTATAGTCAAAATCATCTATGTATTCTATTTCGAGGTGCTGAGTGGAATAGACGGTACAGCGTCGTGGTTAAGAACAAGAACTTGGTTGTGAAGTTAATGTGAACATGACCAATGGCTTTAACTTTCTCAGTCTCTGCCATGTCACCTACAAAGTAAGGATAATCAGATGCTCACTCTATAGAGTTATTGTAGTTATTGAGACTAAATGACAATATGTATGTAAAACATCACATTATGGATGTCTCTTACAGGCTTTTACGTAAATGAGGATAGCCAAGAAAAGAACGACAATGTTTAAGAATCAAATGGAGTTTCTCCAGATTGTTCCCTATTAAAGCTTTATTGAAATATATTTTTAAAAATTATAAATTTCCTTCTCAAAATATTCAGACAAGAAGCTATTTTATAGCTGAGGTGTGTCTTGGCGAGTTCAGGGAAGCCATGCTCTAAACCCATCTCCTAGACTCCCAAAATATTCAGACAAGGTAGGATAACCTCTGTCTTCTCAGTGTCTCGGGCTGTCTCTCTCTCTGTCTCATGCTTTCTGTGTCTTTAAATATTTATTTTTTTAAAAAAATTTTCAAGCACCTCTCCTTACCTTGGGCCTTTTCTTTAACTTGTTAATTTCAGAAGCCATTTTAAAGCTAAGGTGTGTCTTGGCAAGTTCATTTTCAGCTTTTACTTTTTTAAATAGTATTTTTCTAGGTTTTTCCCCCCCTCTTTGCCTATATTTTTTAACCTTACTTTCTTTTATTATTTATTTTTTCTTTTTTTGGAGAGATTTTTGCTATAGGGCACGTGCACTCGCCAGAAAGACAGACAGAGACAGAGAGACAGAAAGTGAGAAATCACCCACCAGGGGGGATGGCCACACCACAATCCCTTCTCCTCCATCCTCTTCTCAGGATCTTGGGCACACACGCACATGC